TCTGTTTGTTTTGGCAAAATATTTTTGACATATCAAAATACAACAACCGATGTTTGTTGTAGAAATTCGCCGATGCGGCTACCTTGTATATCTACCTTGCTCCTACCAAACACATTGGTGGACCAGCACTGATTTCCTTTGCAGATTTTACCAGCCATAATTGTCCTCTGACAACTCCAATGCAACACATGCATGATTCCAGATGCGTACGTTGTCGACACACGACATAACGTACCCGACACTCGGTTATACAAACTGGAATGACTCTCAATGCCCTTTTTGTTTTGCACACTTCGATCACACAGATCGGTCACTGTCCACTTTCTTCCTTTCTTTCCAAGCTCCATCGTTGCTGAAATTCAAAATTCTAGATTTAACCGCTTACTTTACTAACTAGCCTAGATAGATAGATGACAAACAAACACACACACACACCTTCTTTTACTACCCATTACTGTTATAACAGCTTTATAACAGTTAACGGGTGCTATAATTGTGAAAGTGTCATAAACTGTTATACGCTTAGCGATTCAACCAACCATACCATAACCAATGTAAGCAAAGACCTCGACCATAGCCCAAGTATTACACACACATTTACACATAGATGGCGATGCATTTATTTCACATTTTCTAGTGTAGATGGCGATGCATTACTAAAAATAATTTTCAACAAAAATGGATTTTTTTTAATGATTTTTGATTATTTTTTTGATTTTGTTGATTTTTTCCGCGAAAATTGGATGGGAAAACAAAAAAACAACGTTTTTTGTTCACGGATAAAAAAATTTTCCTCGAAAATTTTTATTATCCGTAATTATAGTCAAGACACCAACCTTATCCAACATTTATCCATAATTATAGTCAAGACACCAACCTTACCCAACATTTTCCATAAATAAAATTTTTATCGTACAATGATAGATATACGGTATCGTATATCGACGATATTATCGTATTTTTTGAGTGAAATGCAGTGGAATTTTCGGGAAAAGCTACTAACTAGCCAGCCCTTCAGAGTGTAATAAAAATTATTCTCTCACTTGGGGAATGACTGAAACAGAAAAAAACATATTCTTGATTTTTTTCATTTTTGAAATTATTATGTCCGTCCTTCCTTGTTAAGCTAAATTTTTTGTTGATGCCCCTGGGAAATTCAGAGTTGTTACGATATCATAACAACAGAGCGAACAATATTAATTAAACGTTTTAATTCTCTTTATAGCAAAATAAAAATATATATTTTATGTGCGGATCTCTGATTTTATTTACATTTTAAACAAACATTTTCGCGTATTAGCGTTTTTATTCTTAACATGCCCCTGGATATTTCTTCATAAACTATTTTGTCAAAATGCATAAAGACTCGACAACTTTACAGTTTCTATGTCTTTGCACTGAAGTTTGGCCTCTCATTGAGCGATTGTCGGTACTATTTGGGGCGAAAAATTTCTTTTGAAGTTAGATATTGTGTTAGATAGGGTATATTCAATTTGTACGTCATCGAGATAATAATTTCCTACCAATATATATACATTTATTGTGGTACACATTTTTTGATCAGCCCTCGATTCGTTTGAAGTATTTTTGAAAATTTTTGTTGTGACTGATATATTTTTTGATAAAATATATTCTCTACTCCTCGAACAATCGATTTGATATAATAAATGCCAATATCGATCGATATTTTCTCACATACTGCAAAAATATTCTGCCCTTCTTCAATAAAGGCTATCGAAGTTGAATCGGTCCTTTAGGTTAATTCCCAATTTTTGAGTTTTTATTTCAAATATTTATTTATTTTGAGAATTATTTATTGTGTTCTGCTAATGAAAAAAGGTGATTTTCTGAATGTTAGGTGTACTGTACAATTTTTTAGCAATTTTGGTAGATTTTACAGATTTTTTTTCAAAAAAAATATCTGTAAATGATTTTATCGGTGCTTAAAAAAATATTTTCAAAAATGCATTAAAGCAAAAAATTACACAATGTTTTAATTATGTGGCCACTTCAAAGCCGATATATTTTCATAAAAACCGTTATTTATGGAAAAATGCCATGCAATAATTTCCTATTTTCACACTAAATCTCTGAAGTGCAGCATATGGAAGTGTTCTGCACCACTGTATATATATATATATATATATATATACAACACAATAAATTTTAGAGTTAAAATAAAAAAAAAAAACATTAATTTAGTTACACAATATAACTTAATATGGATTTATGAGTTGCCGAAATTTAGTATTTCTGGGCGTTGCGTGTTACAAAATCCACATTGGAAAGAATCCCGTCCGTTATTCATTACATCGGACTTCGCGCCAGTACAATATATTTCCAGTGTGGTTGGAAACGTCTTTGCAAATAAATATCAATACCATTAAAAAATTAAATAGTAAAATTTATAGAAACATTTGCTTTTGAAAGTGACAACAATTTAGTTATTGTGGTGTTCAGTAGTTTGCATAGTTTCACTTATTTGTATACTGCATCGGAAGTTTAAACCTCAATTCATAAAATCATTCGCTGTACTATGGTTTCATGTGGGGTTGAAAATTATATTTCATGTAACTGCCAGTAATTTTATGAGCCTCATTGAATATTGGTTTTAAACCTCGTGTTTCTTCGGTTTTAAACCTCGTGTTTCTTTGGACCAAACCCGTTTAATACAGTTTGGAGTCGATGTCCTTCTGTCTGGCCGGTTGGTGTGCACGGTAACTCTCGAAGGGAGTAAACGATTTCGTCCAAGTTTGCATTTTCTCTTAACGAATCATACCTTTTCCGTTTGAGGGATTTAAGGTGGAAAGGTATCACGCTTCAATCAAAAACATTTTATATTTCAATGTTGTATATATGTTCGCAGCGAATAATTAATATTTCTGCAAATGTGAAGAATGTTGTTGTGTTTTAAATTCCACTTTCAACCAGATCTACCATCCAAAATTCAAAAAAGTACAACATTGTTACCCAATCGCAACCCAGTGGCATAGAAAACGATTGAACAATCGATTGAATTATTAATGAATTCTACGGATTGCTTAGCGGAAATTGTTCTGAAGGAAACCAAGTGGGCGAATAGAGAGTGGAGGGAAGTAGTTTTGAAGTTGTGTATTTTGTTTCAATTCAAGGACGTTTGAATAAATATGCCAATGAAATTCATCGATTAAAAAACAAACAGATGACGCTGATTCAATTCGTCTCAATATTGTTCGAGCTCATACAGATGGTAGGAGAGTAACATGTATGTAGGTACTGCTACTTGTAAATAGCTGAAATTCCTTCTTTGTTGTCATAATTCGAAATGCATTGCATTTAGTGAATGAGTCACAAATAAAAGTCCCAATCTTATGCTACAATTGTTGATCATGCACATGCCACAGTTTGTTGACTTCTAGATGTCGATGATAGATGCAAGGAAATTCCACAAAACTCAAATGGTTTTCCACCATTGACAACAGCATCATTCTTGCAGCCGAGACCATTGGTCATCGTCACACCACCTCATCGCCACATGGTCATCATTTCTAATATTTTAAGTAGAAAATTGCTATGAAAATATTTGCACACTTATTATTTCCACATGAAATTAGCCGAAGCCGAAGTTTCAAAAAAGGGGAAATGACACTGAAGCACTGACATTCGAACGCACCATCCATCCAGCATCAAAACTAATGTCATTGGAAAAGTCATTCATGTGTTCCCGACTTTCAACTCATCTCCCCTGGATGTGAACTGACTTCTGCTAAATTGACCTGGGACTTTTCCCAAAGTGATGAAATAGAGAAGAATCTTGAACTGAAAAATGAAATAAAAACAGAACAGCCACATTAACATTATTACGGTATTTAGAAAATTATATTTTTCTCAAGTATGCATGCATTTCCAAGCACCACGAAGCATGGAAAAACTGAACAGCAAAGAATAAGCTCGAAAAGAAAAACCAAAAAAAAAAACAAGAATCTTATGACGGTTAGAATTTGTTGCAAATTAATGCACAGAGCATAGAACGTTACAACGAGATTCAAGCCAAGCCAAAACAATTCACAAAAGAGAGACAGTGGAAAGCAGTGATTTGAGTATCTTCTGGAAAATATTCCAAAGTCATAAGTCCGTCCAAAATGAATCCATCATAGCAAGCTTGTAAATCGCAAGCTTGATTTGATCGAAACTATTAGTGTCAAAGATGTTGCGAAAATCGGCCATGACATAACAGTGACCTGTAATGCACCGGGAACTATTTAGAATAGTTCAAATCAGACAATTCTTGACCAGAGTAAAATTTTAAGTCAATTCAAGCCCGTCTGTTATCCAGTATAATCTAAAATGAGAAAATTTCTTATAATATGTTAGTAGTTCTTAACTTTACTTTTCGCCCTGAAAAATCACTGTTGTCCGTGGAGCAAACTGAAACATCAAGAATGAAAAGTAACAGAAATAAAAACACTAGGCGACACAAGTGGATGTGGAAACAAAAACTGTTCACAGGTGCATGATGCCTTCCATACAGCGCTTGTCTTTGCCTAGCTATAGATTTGAATTGGTTCTTTTTGCCAGCGAAAAAGTGGCCGCAAGTGTGCAAACACTTTCCAAATGCACACTCAAGGCAATGGCCGGCCAAAGGCAACAACGTCTTTGTGCCGAAGTGTGGGGATCTACAGTTGTACTGAGCCATCTGTTTCAACAAGAAGAAACCATTCGCATAGATCAATGATATATTTTCCAACAATGGAATGCAATGCGAATTTTAGGTCCGGAACCTTTGAAGCAAAAAAAAAAACTTATTTTCTTTATTGCATTGCAATGTTTCCGTAATTAGCTCGGATTGACCACAATCGATTAGCCAAAACAAAAATGACAATGTTCCACAATGCGCAAGTATGCAACGCTCTGATGATAACCACGTCAACTCCTATCCATAATTCAATAAAAAGCCGACTGGGTGCCAAAAATAAAATAGTCGCAGGCTGTCAGATATTCGACTTGACTGATGTTGAAAGATGGTACGATTAGCATTTCTTAGTTGGTGCTTGCTCAGCTCATCGATAATATGGGCTCCGATATTAGACTCGACTGTTGCCGTTAGTCTTTCAACAAGACTAACTGAACTGAACATAAAGGATATTGTACCAACATGGGACATTGAAAATATCTACCATTCGGAAGACTTGACACCCTCCGAATCGAAACATCACGAAAAGGAAGAAAAAGAAGAAGAGGAAAGTTATGAATCGGAATCGTCAGAAGAAGAGTCCAGCAAACACGAAGAAGAAAAGGGAAAGAAAAGTAAGAAGCATCATAAAGAGGAAGAGGAGCACGCCAAGGGTGAAAAAGGACATCATGACGAGGAAGGAAAAAAGGGTGAACATGAAGAAGAGGAGGGTCATGAAAAGAAGCATAAGAAAGGCTCAGAGCACCACAAGAAACACAAGAAAGGTGAAAAAGGCGAAAAGGGACATGAATTTGAGGACCACGGTTCCTATAAGAAGGGCCACTCCATTAAAGGGAAACATCACGTTCACAAATTAGACGAAGATAAGAAAGAAAAGAAGTACTACGACGAAAAGCACGATGAGGGGGACGAAGAAAAGCACGGTGAATTCGAGAAGGGCGATCACTTCAAAAAGGGAAAACATCACAAGAAGGGTGGCAAGAAGAAATCTGAAGAGGAGGAAAAATATGGTAAAAAGGGCCACAGCCATAAGGGCCATAAGAAGAAGGGGCACAAGGGACACAAAAAGAAACACGAGGAGAAAAAGAAATGGGGCCACGAGCATGGTGATGACAAAAAGAAAGAGGAAAGTGAAAAGAAGAAATGGAAGAAATCGGAAAAAAAGAGCAGTGATGGAGGAGGCGGTCATGGTTGGTAAAATAATACAAACTGGTTGTATCGTTGGATCGTGGTAAGAAGACTTTTTGTGACCTATCCAAAGTAATAAATATTCGAGAGTATTCGATTAGTGACGCTGTGAAGATCGATGACATTGGTAATTTTTGTTTAAACAATATTTTTTGTCAGTATTTTTTATTAATTATGTACAAAATAATAATAAATGTTGCAGAGCATTCAAATGCTAAAGAAATATATATATATATATATAAGAGAGCGAATTTTGACAGTTGCTTCGATGGAAGTCTTTCACATTGGAATGACCATATTCGATATCGACGTATTTGTTTTTCCAAATTTTCGATAAAAACTAGTTAAAAACCGAAAAAAACAGTAAGTAATGATCAAAAGTCGGACGTGGCCGACTATATATGGGAGCTACATCTAAATCTGAACCGATTTCCACAATACTTCGTAGACATCAATATGGAACTATTCCAATACGCTTGGCAAAATTTTGTATTAATCGGACAATCCTTGGGAGTTTGTTGCACTATTTAGATAAAATCCGACGAAAACATATATGGGAGCTATATCTAAATCTGAACCGAATTAAACAAAATTTCGTATACATTAATATGTACCTATTTCAATACGCTGTGCAAAATTGGACAATCCTGGGAATTTGGTGCACCATTTATATAAAATCGAACAAAACTATATATGGGGCACCATTTACATAAAATCGGACGCAACTATATATGGGAGCTATATCTAAATCTGCACCGAATTTCTCCAATTTCAATAGGGTTCGTCCTTGGGCCAAATAAGTGAGATGTGCCAAATTCCAAATCAGATCATAAATGCGATCTGTACTTTGTTCACCAAAAATACATGGACGGACATGCATAAATCGACTCAGAAAGTGATTCTATGCATATTCTTAAAAGGAACCATGGTTCTACCACGATTACTTTTGCCTGTTACAAACATATGCAAAAATCCATTATAAGCTGTACCGCAATGTGTAAAAACCAACAATAATACCAGTAAGCTAAGGGCTGGGATGGCTATATACATAATGAAATAATTTACTTACTGCATTACTGTTTTGATATAGGTTATATTTCATAATAAATGATATGATCAGACCTATTTAGATCTGAAAGAAGAACCACAAACAAACAGATATCTACTATATATATATATATATATATATATATATAAAGATAGATTTAAATGTTATAGAGAATTTCCCCGATATACACATAAGTGGGAGATTCCTTTTGAAAACTGGGATAAAGTTTTCAAAGTTTCCAAATGCAAATATAAAAAGCTTACTTGGCCACAAATAATATCTAGTTTAAGCAGTGGTGTACGCCGCTAGTTTGTCAATGAAAGATATAGATCGTTTCATTAAAGCTCGTAACGAATTGTAAATTCCCCAGGGCAGGATTTAAGCTTGAATCATTTGTGTGTCTCTATTTTAGGTGTTTTATGAACACATTTTTGTGACAAATTTAAAAAATCCAGAAAATAGGTTGAATTGTGAAACAATGACTACATTTTTCACACAAGGCCATAACACGTCTTTTCTTTTCAGTTGGCATGCTCCGTTCATCTATTGTATTAAATCGACAATGTGAGGATATATTCAATATCCCAAAAGACAACATCATTCTAATGATAAAATTGTTAATACTTACCATGTTCCACTTTAATTTGCCAAACACATACACTCTTATTGTAATATAATTGTGATCGGTCTTCGATGTCTGTGAAGAATTAAAAAATATTTATATCATAATTGCACATTCTTCAGATTAAAGTGGCCAAAATATTGAAGGCAAACAATTGTACGAACATTTATGGAAAACCCAACACTGATATTATCCTATCCCCTATTATCTATTGACAAAAGTACAGCATCATTACGATGACAAATCGAATATTTTCCCAAATTCAATTATTCACTCCGAACTATTAGCTAGAATTATTATGTCGACAAAACGCTCAACGGCACTTTATTCACAACAATGCCAATCTAATGAAGCTCATCCATCCAGCCATCCGCCGTTCATTTACCATCCAAGCCGTTACAATTCCTTCCCGACGAGGTTCAGGGGTCCATCAAACATTTGTCTGATTCCCACCAGAGTGTAATTGTTACAAAGCAACGACAGTGACTACTTTGACATCAGAGCACGTTTTAGACTGAACGCTATCCATCTCTCCCAGCGCCTCATCCACCCCAACGGAGTGTCTATTTCTGTAGTCTTGTAGTCTGAGAAAGCCCTTTGCAAATTACAGGTCATGTCAAATATTACGAAATGAAAATTAGGCTGTTCTTTTAACAAATGTTCACAGATTGGAAAAATAACAACAACAGCGATGTTAAACAATTTTCCGATGCTCTACTTTGTCCCATGTTTGGCCGAATAGACATCGTCAGCAGTATTTGAATCTTCTGCACAGTTGTGGTCATTGCAGCCATAAGTAGATAATTGCGAAAGAACGCTCATTAAATCTTGTACCGTAACAACAGATTTCCAAATGTTGCATCTAAGCAAGTAAGCGTTCAGCTAATCACACTGGGAGTAGTAAAGGATGTTGATGATGGTGAATGGCCATGACGATGCCGATGTACTGAACGTATGTCTGACAGTAATATTCAAAATTAAACAGTGGTTGAATGTTATATACAAATTGTATTTAGCTTCGTTGTTTATAGTTTGAGATGGCCCATACGGAATTGCACACATGATCTATCATTAGTTTTTATCAAAGAGTAGACCATATGTGGAGTGCTACCAAAAGAGCTGCCCTATAGACCCCATCATCAGATTTAATGTAGGTTTGGCAAAGTATCACGATGTGCAAACAAGGGTTCAAATCTGTTATTCAGTTTAAATTTAAACATGTTCAAAATGTTGACACTTGACGAGAGATGCCAGAGGCAGTGGAACGATGGGTACCACTTTCGGAATTGATCTATGTAAGGTAAACATATTACTATATGCAAAGTTTCGATGAATTTAGATATTGCGTTCGTTTCATTTGAGATTTACAAGTTTTCAAAATGTTGACCCTTTGTGGGGGAGGCACTACACGGAGTGGACCGAACGTTACACAGGCATGACATTATAAAATTAATTTACAGCAAAATATTGACCATTGTGTGTGGGACGTACCAAAATGAGTTGATCGATTTATACATCTTCAAAGAATAAAATATTACGAAGTGCTCAGTTTGGATTAAATCGGACTTTATATTCGCCTTTGTTGGGGAGGTACCCATCTTATGACTCGATCTTGTCTTGGTTGTACATAGCGTGGTTCAAATCTGATAGACCGTTCGCAAAATATTCAAACATTAATTTTTCAGAAGGAATGGAACTGGATCTTTGAACTTAGATTTAGATTAAATATTACGATGTGCAAAGTTTGAATGAAATTGGTTACTCCCTTCTAAAGTTATCATGCGTACCATCCAGGCAGACGGACGAACCTTTGTTAATCGACTGCAAACTGTCAGAACGGATTTGCTTCAAAGATGTTCAAACATGTTTATATTACATGTTTCTTTGGACCAAATCCAATTTTTGTCAAGTTCACGAGCAGATATGGTCGGTCAGAAACAGCGACGTAAATGACATACATTTCCAACGTATAACACATACGTCAAAAAGTCGGAAACCCACCCAAAACCATTAGTTTTTCAACAAAATAGCTATTTCCATTAAACAATTTGGAATTTGCATATGCCTTTCTAAAATCCATTTTAAATTTCAAAATTTTCTTCTCAAAAAAGTTTCGAATTTTTTTATCCGTTCTAGTAAGGAGTAGTCAGATATAATATCTATTCTTGAAAATAACTGTATATGGCGATAATATTTAAAATAAATGACGTTTACTACATTTTTTACTATACGTTTTCGACGTTTACACCTTTTTGACAGTCGAAAATATAAAAATTAGTCACAGGGACCATCCCTGTTCAGGAGCCAATAATTCTGATTCCGAAGTAACAACATCTGCTCGCCCATTCTATTATTTAGTTGCCCACCGTTTTACTGATGTTCAATTTCATGGCAAATAAGTCCGGCTCCGTTTTTGGAATTTCAACTTTAACTAAAAGTTTCAATGGCCAAACAAATGAGCTCAGTTAGTGCTCTGTTGTCCAATTCTTATGGCCGCCTTATTCACAACACCGAACATGTTGTTGATTGTTTTGTGTATGGATGGGATCGGATCGTGGTGAATTTTTGGACACAGCATTCCTCTTGTTCACTTACATCTTGCATCTGTTGCGGACAATGCTGTCGATAGCCATGTGTGGCGCAGTGTGTGCAGTATTCGAATGAAATCTGCGATATGTGACCCGGCTCCATGAAAACACAATGCAAGTGGAAATCCTTTTATGGCCAATGGCAATGCAACTGTAGCACTTGTACAGGAATGCATTTTCATTATTGCATTTCTTTGTTTTTTGGAATTAGCCTGATTTCGGATTAAGAACCCTACCTACGGCAGCACAGCTTGCACTTCATTCTTATCCATTATGTCATCACATCTAGAAACAATATTCCGCTTGATTTTAACACATATGACTGATGATGATTTCCTTCGTAAATAATACATCCTATTCAATTGATCGTCAAAGCATGAAGTAGTGATCAACTAATCGATGATAGTCATTTCGTACCAACTCTCCGATAACTCCTCACGCGAATTAAATGATTTCATTCCCCGTAAGTGCGTACGTTACTCCACACTGCCTTTTGGAAACGTTGGAGGTGGTGCTCGCTGTTGTTGGTGGTGGTGACGCTATCTGCCAGACTTGGTGGATGTGTTGCTCAAATTGGTAAATTGCTGGCAACAAAACACTTTAAATTGTCAATGAGGCGATATTCACAGCGTGGAACAAGCATACCACGCCATGCCATGTGGACAAGCATACTCACCGTGTGGACATGCATACTCACTTTGTGCTCCATCATACAATTTTATATCGAATTGTATGTGCCCATTTTGGTCTGA